GCCCATTCCTTTCCCCCCAAGTCGCATCCTTTGATTCATCATTGTCTTGCGCAGCTCCGAGGAGCTAAGGCTATGATGATCTACTGAGCCTTGATCTTCACATTTCTATTCCTCAAGACACTTGTCCGCTATTCTATGACCGAGGACGGTCATTTTTTCAGTCAGGAGGAGATGACGGACTGGCCTATCTATCCGACAAGTCCTGACGTGTGGCAGTGCATGTCAATCAGCAATCACCCTGGCTATTCACTGGTTCGTCCAGCCCTGCATATATTTTTGATATTCACATCCCTGGACTGCTGTCTGCACATTTATCTCTACACCCCTGCCTTTCTTACTTCACCATCCACTATAGGCAGACTGGTATGAGACCCTAACAGGGTGGTCAAATGGGTCATTTTTGGTACCCGAGTAGGGTCAAATACCACTACGTCGGGCAGCAACCAACTTCCATGTGGGTATGGGTAACCCAGGGTAAAAACGTTGGTCAGGACCAAACGAAGAGCAGGTGGTACCTACCACACAGACAGAATCAGTGGTTCCAACCAGGTTATGGGATGAAGGAGTGGTCGGGACCAAACACCGGCAAATGGTGCCTACCACGCAGAAAGAATCAGTGGTTCGAACCAGGGTATGGAATGTGGTATTTGCTGCCCTGGTACTGTGCAGATATCAAAAATGAATTTTTCTGCGATCAGGCCGGTATTGCAGATAGGACGGGTATGGGCACAGGCTCAAGCGTCACAGCACTCTGACCACTGTTATGAGCACCCTGGAGGCCTGGCTGAGGCCATAGGAGCCCCCAGTGCTGTCTGCCAGACATATGTCGGATTTTCTGCGATCAGGCCGGTATTGCAGGTAGGACGGGTATGGGCACAGGCTCGAGCGTCACAGCACTCTGACAACTGTTATGAGCACCCTGGAGGCCTGGCTGCGGCCATAGGAGCCCCCAGTGCTGTCCTCAGGCCATATGTCAGATTTTCTGCAATCAGGGCGGTATTGCAGATAGGACGGGTATGGGCACAGGCTCGAGCGTCACAGCACTCTGACAACTCTTGCAAGCACCCTGGAGGCCTGGCTGCGGCCATAGGAGCCCCCAGTGCTGTCTTCAGGCCATATGTCAGATTTTCTGCAATCAGGGCGGTATTGCAGATAGGACGGGTATGGGCACAGGCTCGAGCGTCACAGCACTCTGACAACTCTTGCAAGCACCCTGGAGGCCTGGCTGCGGCCATAGGAGCTCCCAGTGCTGTCTGCCGGCCATATGTCGGATTTTCTGCGATCAGGCCGGTATTGCAGGTAGGACGGGTATGGGCACAGGCTCGAGCGTCACAGCACTCTGACAACTGTTATGAGCACCCTGGAGGCCTGGCTGCGTCCATAGGAGCCCCCAGTGCTGTCCTCAGGCCATATGTCGGATTTTCTGCAATCAGGCCGGTATTGCAGATAGGACGGGTATGGGCACAGGCTCGAGCGTCACAGCACTCTGACAACTGTTATGAGCACCCTGGAGGCCTGGCTGCGGCCATAGGAGCCCCCAGTGCTGTCCTCAGGCCATATGTCAGATTTTCTGCAATCAGGCCGGTATTGCAGATAGGACGGGTATGGGCACAGGCTCGAGCGTCACAGCACTCTGACAACTCTTGCAAGCACCCTGGAGGCCTGGCTGCGGCCATAGGAGCCCCCAGTGCTGTCCTCAGGCCATATGTCAGATTTTCTGCAATCAGGCCGGTATTGCAGATAGGACGGGTATGGGCACAGGCTCGAGCGTCACAGCACTCTGACAACTCTTGCAAGCACCCTGGAGGCCTGGCTGCGGCCATAGGAGCCCCCAGTGCTGTCCTCAGGCCATATGTCAGATTTTCTGCAATCAGGCCGGTATTGCAGATAGGACGGGTATGGGCACAGGCTCGAGCGTCACAGCACTCTGACAACTGTTATGAGCACCCTGGAGGCCTGGCTGCGACCATAGGAGCCCCCAGTGCTGTCCTCAGGCCATATGTCGGATTTTCTGCAATCAGGCCGGTATTGCAGATAGGACGGGTATGGGCACAGGCTCGAGCGTCACAGCACTCTGACAACTGTTATGAGCACCCTGGAGGCCTGGCTGAGGCCATAGGAGCCCCCAGTGCTGTCTGCCAGACATATGTCGGATTTTCTGCGATCAGGCCGGTATTGCAGGTAGGACGGGTATGGGCACAGGCTCGAGCGTCACAGCACTCTGACAACTGTTATGAGCACCCTGGAGGCCTGGCTGAGGCCATAGGAGCCCCCAGTGCTGTCCTCAGGCCATATGTCAGATTTTCTGCGATCAGGCCGGTATTGCAGGTAGGACGGGTATGGGCACAGGCTCGAGCGTCACAGCACTCTGACAACTGTTATGAGCACCCTGGAGGCCTGGCTGCGGCCATAGGAGCCCCCAGTGCTGTCTGCCAGACATATGTCGGATTTTCTGCAATCAGGGCGGTATTGCAGGTAGGACGGGTATGGGCACAGGCTCGAGCGTCACAGCACTCTGACAACTGTTATGAGCACCCTGGAGGCCTGGCTGCGGCCATAAGAGCTCCCAGTGCTGTCTGCCGGCCATATGTCGGATTTTCTGCGATCAGGCCGGTATTGCAGGTAGGACGGGTATGGGCACAGGCTCGAGCGTCACAGCACTCTGACAACTGTTATGAGCACCCTGGAGGCCTGGCTGCGTCCATAGGAGCCCCCAGTGCTGTCCTCAGGCCATATGTCGGATTTTCTGCAATCAGGCCGGTATTGCAGATAGGACGGGTATGGGCACAGGCTCGAGCGTCACAGCACTCTGACAACTGTTATGAGCACCCTGGAGGCCTGGCTGCGTCCATAGGAGCCCCCAGTGCTGTCCTCAGGCCATATGTCGGATTTTCTGCGATCAGGCCGGTATTGCAGATAGGACGGGTATGGGCACAGGCTCGAGCGTCACAGCACTCTGACAACTGTTATGAGCACCCTGGAGGCCTGGCTGAGGCCATAGGAGCCCCCAGTGCTGTCCTCAGGCCATATGTCAGATTTTCTGCGATCAGGCCGGTATTGCAGGTAGGACGGGTATGGGCACAGGCTCGAGCGTCACAGCACTCTGACAACTGTTATGAGCACCCTGGAGGCCTGGCTGAGGCCATAGGAGCCCCCAGTGCTGTCCTCAGGCCATATGTCAGATTTTCTGCAATCAGGCCGGTATTGCAGGTAGGACGGGTATGGGCACAGGCTCGAGCGTCACAGCACTCTGACAACTGTTATGAGCACCCTGGAGGCCTGGCTGCGGCCATAGGAGCTCCCAGTGCTGTCTGCCGGCCATATGTCGGATTTTCTGCGATCAGGGCGGTATTGCAGGTAGGACGGGTATGGGCACAGGCTCGAGCGTCACAGCACTCTGACAACTGTTATGAGCACCCTGGAGGCCTGGCTGCGTCCATAGGAGCCCCCAGTGCTGTCTTCAGGCCATATGTCAGATTTTCTGCGATCAGGCCGGTATTGCAGGTAGGACGGGTATGGGCACAGGCTCGAGCGTCACAGCACTCTGACAACTGTTATGAGCACCCTGGAGGCCTGGCTGCGGCCATAGGAGCCCCCAGTGCTGTCTTCAGGCCATATGTTAGATTTTCTGCGATCAGGGTGGTATTGCAGGTAGGACGGGTATGGGCACAGGCTCGAGCGTCACAGCACTCTAACAACTCTTGCAAGCACCCTGGAGGCCTGGCTGCGTCCATAGGAGCCCCCAGTGCTGTCCGCCGGCCATATGTCGGATTTTCTGCGATCAGGGTGGTATTGCAGGTAGGACGGGTATGGGCACAGGCTCGAGCGTCACAGCACTCTGACCACTCTTATGAGCACCCTGGAGGCCTGGCTGCGGCCATAGGAGCCCCCAGTGCTGTCTTCAGGCCATATGTCAGATTTTCTGCGATCAGGCCGGTATTGCAGGTAGGACGGGTATGGGCACAGGCTCGAGCGTCACAGCACTCTGACAACTGTTATGAGCACCCTGGAGGCCTGGCTGAGGCCATAAGAGCCCCCAGTGCTGTCTGCCAGACATATGTTGGGTTGCAATCCAGCTGGTATTACCGCACTCTGCCAACCGTTAAAACCCCCTGGAGCCCACCAGACAGCACTGCAAGCGCAATCACCTCTGCATCAAATTAATGCTGTACCGCTCTCAATTGTTTTTTTGCTCAACCCTTTCCAGCCACAGTCCCTGAATCCTGCATCAATCTCAATCCCTTCCTGGCACTCTGGGTGTGTGCCCTTCACAACCTCCTGTTGAATACATGGACATTGTCGCAACTGATGTATTCTGGGACCCACAGTCCCAATCAGCATCTTGTACTGGGCACTGATCACGACCAAACTGCTATTGACACTGCCTTCACTACTTACTCCGTACCGAGAGGTTCCCACCCCTCCACTTCAGCTTCACAGATGCTATGGCACCACTCACTCCTCTGTATCGAGTGATCCTAACCCCTTGCCTCCCTTCGACGTGGTCCCGACCAGTGTCTCTGAGATCCACTGGTCCCCACCAATCCCATCCCGTTGGCATGGTCGCAACCGTCATTTGGCGTCGAGTGGCAGCAGCCACTTTCCCCCAGTCGTCGTGGTCCCAACCACTGTCCATGACGTCGTTTGGTTCTTACCACTGCCTTCCCCCCAGTATGGTCCCAACCATCACACTCCAACCAGTGGTAGCAGCCACTCTCCCTTCAACACAGTGGGTGCAGCCACCCTTCTCCCTCATACGGTTGCAACCAACCTGTAGGATCATCTCCGGACTTGGCTCAAATTGCCACTGGAGCCTACTGCAACCACTCACAAGAAGCCAATGGTACCAACCAGTATTTTTTCCTGACTTGACATTGTCAAAAATGTCCTGGCATTGAAAAGCTACAAACTGCTTGCTACTGAGGCATATAGCTAGGAAGTTCATAGTGTGAGGCAACATATTAGGTTCAAAAAACTTGATGAATGTAAACTAGGTTTTGTCAAATGTCAAACAGATCCCATGCAAGGCCGTCATCCTCTTCGGCAACGATTTCGAGTGGAGCGGAAAATGGATTGACATCTACAATGTCACCATTCCTTTGTCGCTGATGCTTTTTCACATCCACCTCGGCCAACTCAACATCGGAGGGACCCCAGCGAGTAACGAAGTCCCCCGCGGGAAGCGAGCTCTGCCACACAGCACAGAGCGCAACAAGCCTCGTCCTGCGGATTTGGAATTGGAATTGAAGGGCATCACAATCTGTTGTGGTCAGGTTGGTCAGACGCTGAAGCAGCAAGAACTCACCAGCGGATTCGAGTGCCCGATTGACGACCAACCACTCCTCTTGAAACCATGCCTTCATTGAGCGTCTCTCGTTGCGCAGGAACCTACCCTCCTCCTCGGCTCGCTTCTCGTCCAAAAGTGCTCTGATGCCGCGCTTGACTGAGTCATCTACCAACCAGGGCGGGGGGGTGGTACCCAGATCGGCGTCGGTGAGACCGGCATCGTCCCAGATGCTGTCATCCACATCCAGGGTCGGAATGGCCTTGAGATCGATCGTCGCCGGAATCTTCGCCCCCTTGGGCGCTTGACGGTGAATGGCAAGGTCCGCAAGTTTCGAACAGAGCTTGTTGTACTCCGTGATAAGTCGACGGATTCGCGGAAGTCGATTTCGCACAGAGGTGGATATCGCGCTCCGAAGTTTCCATTCTATCCCACGGATCAGCGACATGCGGACAGTGGAGAGTATTGAGATCATACCATTTGATCCTTGCTGGCGATGACCTGACCGCTTCAATTCCGAAAGCTCCAAGTTTCGAGATCGTAGTAGACTGAGGATAAGTGTCTTGAGGGCAAGCGCATTCATGCGGTATTCGAAGAACTTGCTCTTCTGTGCCTTCTCCAAGCGCGCTTGTCCATCGACTCCCAAGGCAGCCTCCCTTTTGGCCAGGTTCTCCGTCACAGTCTCCAGATCGAGCCGCGCTTCCAGAAGGGCTGAACGCGCATCGAGCCGGGCAGAGTCATCTGCCCCAGTGGCGTCCTTCCAGGTCTGCTCGGCTTCACAGACCCGGTCTTTTGCAGCCTTCTTCTCCCCGCGCAACGCGAGCACCTCGTTCACTGCCTGAACGCCGAGATGTTTCGAGCGACCTAGATTGCCAAGTTAGATGTAGCTATGTGAAAGTGTCGCACTCACTTGGCTGTGGTTTGGTCTGCGTCTTCACCTGAAGGTCCCACTGCTGAGCCAAGTCGGCGCGACTGTATCCTCTCTTCGCCATCTCAGCCAGAATGGCCTCGGCGCTCGCCTGTTTGTTGTCACAGAAGGCCTGCCGACGCGCCATCCAGGCACCAAGGGCAAACAAGTTGTTCTCATCAATGAATCGGAGTTGGGTGTTCAACGTATATAGCCGGTGGTGAAACTGTCATCTCGTCAGTGATTTCGTCAATAGCTCGATGAAACGAGACAGTACTTACCCCAGACTTGCGGAGAGACGAGATCAGACGACTGATGAGATGCCACAATCGCTCACACCCTTCACCGCTGGTGAAGCCCAGCCCTTCCCTTTTTCGAGGATGATAGCGCAGTTGACATTCCAGTCGGTGCACGAATGCATGAAACACAGCCACAGCAAAGACCATGCGCTTGATGAACGGCGCGAGGAAGCCCCACTTGAGAACGGATCGATGGAGTTGGCATGCGATGTCGTAGAGAATGGCCACGACGATGTCCTCTGGAAGGTCTTGGAACAACGTTTCCAACAGGGCAAGCGTGTAGAACTGTTTCTCTCCTTTGGACTTCATATTCGCCATCCAGAGCACGCGATCATGCCGGCACAGCAAAGCCATGAGACCGGTGTCGTCAAAACGATCGGAGTCGGATCTCATTCAACTTTCGTCGGCGGCCTTGAAGGAGTCTTCGCAGCCGTCGAGAACGGATTTGGGGACCTGCAGAGCCTCATACTCTATGTGGTCCTCCTCCTCCTCCTCGACGGCTACGGTGGCCTTCACGCGGGCGCCGCGGCGTTTCTTGGGTGCGGGACGTCCTGGCAGAGGCCTAGAACCGCGGACTTCATCGACATATGCTTCCATCTCCTCGCAAGTCCCGGCCGATATAAAAACGCTGTGCGGATGGATCTTGGGTGGATCCATATTCCCAGCTTCGCGCTTCTGTGTGAAGCATGCATCCGTGCAGACGCAGACATCGGCACTGCAATCACATCAGATACCATTGTCGCAAAGGCGCTTTTGGACTTACGTTGAGTCGCGATCATGCTTCATATCCCCAAAGCACGCGGGGCATCGACGTCGCAGATACTCAGACGCGCGAGTGCGCCTGATGGGTGTTGCAAACGGATTCTCCTTTTCCAGAGGGCGTTTGTGATCCCGTTTGCGAGTGCCCATCTGCGGCGGAGTGGCAGTGGAGTCGAGCACGGCATCTCCAACCACGTCGCGCCGAACCTTCTCCTGGAGAACATCGACGTGCTCATCGACGACGTTACGGAGATGTGAGTACCACTCCAGCGCTGAGGCAAAGGAGCGGCGCAGTGTTCCCTGAGCAGCAAGTTAGGACGCTGATAGTAGACACCAATGCCCGATCAGACTTACCTCATGATCAAGCTGGAAACCAAGATTTTGTAGAAAAGCCTCCAGCGCTGCCGTCCAGGCCGTGTTGTTTGGAGAGGTCCGCAGGAATACCTCTCGGGTCAGCTCCAAGACATGAAGCTCGACCGCGAACGACGGATGTAACGGGGCGGAGGGGAAAAGCCCCGCTTCCAGCAGCTGTTGTGCGGCCGGCACGCAGTCGCAAGCGTCTATCTGAATATCATATATCTCTGCTGTAAGATTAGCCAGTGCAAACGCCTCGGAGACAAAAGACATGCCGTTCATACGACAGACGGACACCTTACAAAGGCGAGTCTTGCCGCATCTACAGACTCGACGGCCAGGAATCGGCAGCTCCTGGAGACGTTGGAAGCCGCGGGTGGAGTGGATGATCTTTATGAATACGGGAATGAGACGTGGGATGATTCTCTCCTGCCACGCAGTCGACGCCTGAGCCATAGTTCTCTGATAACGGTCGTCGATCCCCTCGATGTTGAATGGAGTGACGATCGAGGGCAGGTTCACGTCATCCTGGAATGGCGGGGATCGCGAGAACGGTGATCCGCCGTATCGTGTAGGAGTCGGTGGAACCATGGATGAGCGTAGAGGAGTCGATGGACTCATAGGAGGAAGAGTGCGTCGGTTGGAAATTGAACGAGAAGGCGTCTGTGGCTCGGGCATACTGGGTGTGGATGACCGAGCGGGTGACGATGCTCGCTGTGCAGATACCGGGGTCTCCGCCGGGACGCGCACCGCTGTCTTCGCCTTTCCACCCAAATGAAACAGCGGTTTATAGGTCGCAAGCTTGCCAAAAACGCCGCGCTTGCCCTTTGTCGGACCATCCAGCAGGGTAAGAGCCGACGGCTCGATTGACGCCTTTTTGGTTTTTTTGCTAAATTTGGACGGCATTGGGGGAATGACTATCGCTCAGTGAGACATTTCTGATGAGAATGTATCTACTAACCGAGCCCTTTATGCGCACACCGCGCCCACGTAGTCTCCGAGAGCAAGTCTTCCACGTGATATCGTGTACATCTCACGCTCGCCCAATGCAAGACTGCTAGGCAGCCGAGACGGGAGTGATTGTGGCTGGGCAGCTGTATAGGAAGTCTGGGCTTCGATCACAGTGCTGGATATGATGCTCAGGAAAGCATTCATTGGCTCATCTGAAGTGCCACGAGCTCCCAAAGCTCGCGTCTTCCAGGCCATTATGCCTGAGGCCTGGGCCGTGAGGATGTACAGAGACTGAACCCTGATTGTGTAGATGCCCTGCAGGCGTCGTTGTATAATGGTAATAATTCGTTCATTAGAACTGTCTGCGTTTGAGTCGCCGGATCGAATCAAGATCTGGCTATGCATTAAAATTTTGCGACTTATCGTTGCTTTTGGAATTTCAAGAACGCATAATTCTACGTCATTAAGACTTATTTTGACAACTTCTGGACATAGCTATGTGCACAATCTCCTTTCCTTTCCACATGTAAGGTAATGTGGTCGCAACCTAAGATGTGGTCGCAACCGCAAACGCGGCCTCACTGGGCTTGAAATCATGCACTCATCTCTAATCAAATTGCAAAACACCTGCACATTACATGTATGGATCGAACTGGTACTCTCCGTTGCCGGGTCGCATCACGTAGCCGTATCCCTCCATTCCGACCAACACGGGTACTTCCGCTTGACCACCCACGGATCGAGATTCGATGATCGTAGCCCAGGTTTCGATCTCGAAAGCCAGCCGCTCTGCCAGCGTTGGATATCCGAGCGGCCAGATAAACTCGTAGAGAGACCGGCCAGGAGGCAAGACTGAGCCGTAACATAAGGACAGTGCCGCTTGCTTCATGGCATCGACCTTGATAAGTGCTCGGCGCAACTCATCCTGATAGTCCTGCTTGTGGAGCGCCACATCCACATCCTTTCCCCAATCGCGTAAGAATCCCGATCCCAAAGTCATCTGATACTCACCCAGTCCTGAGCCAAGATCGCCCACCACGTGCATCGCAGTCTAACTTGGCTGAAGCTCAAGTCTGCCAACCAGTTCGACGGTTTGTCGAGATCCATAGCGAGTTCCGTGTCGATTGCCTCATGTCCTTCAACACAGCGGGATTCGACGACGCTCGCCCATTCATGCACCTTGTATGCGGCATGCTGGGCTGGAGTGACGGAGCCTTTCGGCCAGATGGCGTCATGCAGGGTTTTCTCCTGGCGAAGGCGGGACTGAGGGCCGATCGCATCGGTTGCGGTGAGCATAGCGCTCATTTTTTGAAGTGCGCGGTGAGTCGCGGTACGAAAATGGCGGAAACTGCTATTCTGGTGGAGGGCCTGTCACTCATCAGGACCTCCGCATTTTTTCAGTAACACGGCGCACCTCATCATCTAAGACACGCTTCCAGTTCCCGTGTCGTAGAACCAACCGCACGTCCGTCAATCCCAGAGCACCATCCAAACCGTACACAACCTCAGAAGCCGCCGCGCGGGTCGCCATATGGAAGTCAAGAACCTTGGTAGTAAACGTAGAGGCGTAGACAAGGGGGTATCGTCGATGAGCAGAGTCCGGGTACCCCCCGCAGGAAGTGAAGAGCAAGTAAACGGACGCGATGGCACTGTTTGGCGTCAGACAACACGAGCGGACGGGAATGTCAATGGCGGTGTACGATTAGATGAGATCCTGATGGGAATCTTTTTGGCGGTGCACGATAAGATGGAAACGTGATGGGAACCGAGTGGCAGTGCTTGATAAGATGTGATCTGGATGGGAGGAAGGGTGGCGGTACTCGCCCGCTCCCAATTTGCACCATGCGACGTCGGTCGGCAACCCACAATTCGCCCGAACTAGTGTACACAGGATGCATCAGTCATTTCAAGAAGGTGTTTGTGTAGTAGATGCGTATATTAGTTCGAACTAGGTAAATACTGAGATGCTATATTTCAAGTGCTGGGGAAGAGAATCAGCAGCATTGACATTGAGCGATGAGCACAGGGAGAAAATCTGAAATTCATTCGGGGCCGGAATGTTCTCCCTGTCTGGACCCGGCACCGGCACAAAGCGAATGGTAATGATGTCCCCTCTCCGTGTCTCGGGCATCGTCTCCCCGTACTTGCCCAAATGCTCGTTGTTCCCGTCTATGTCCGGTCCAATGATGATGACACGACATGCAACGTCCAAGATCGACGGGAGGTCTTGAACGTCTTCAGGAAAGCTTCGAGGAAGGCGGACCCGAGAAGGCCTAAGCGCTCTCGCGGGGGCCTTGATGATTTTCTTTTGCACTGGCCCCAGCACCACCGAAAAAGTCTTGTTTTCAAGATTACGCCAGTTGGCAGGGGGTACAATGAAACCGCGACAAGAATGTGCGTTCAGAAGCGCCTGGGTGAAAGCATTCGTGGTCCGTGTCGATTTCCCGCCTTTTTTCGCCACGCTCGTTTCGGCCTCGTGCATCATGCTCTTCAAGGTCTCTTTGTCCCGGCAAACTACGTCGACACGCTGACCCATGAGAGGCAGCCCTGCAAGCCAATCATCACCGACATCGAGCTTGGCGGCTGGGACGGAAAGAGTCTTCTCCGAGTCTTCCTCAGTCCGGGTTGCTGCAATGGAATCCTCGGCTTCGGGTGGTGGGGTTCGAGGCCTTCTCTCCGGCAAGATGCTCATTTCCCCCATGGTTTGCGACCGCATGACTTTCCAAAGCGGGTACTGCTTGTGATTGCTACGCACTGTGAGGAGACATGACAAAAGTATTAGAGACAAGGTACGCACAAGGTGCATGTGACATCCGAGGCTGGGACTAGAACGTCCGCGAGAGCGATCGCGCTATACAATTCCATCTTCAATTCGACATCGAGCAAGGCTGGTTCCAGAGTGGAGCAGTCTTTATCGTGTGGTCAGTGACGGACGTCGGGAGCTAGATACGATGGCCTCACCGTCGACCCGTTCTCCGTCCTCCTCATATGGCTCGCCCTGGACTGCGCGCTTCTCCTGAGCCTCACCGTCGACCCGTTCTCCGTCCTCCTCATATGGCTCGCCCTGGACTGCGCGCTTCTCCTGAGCCTCACCGTCGACCCGTTCTCCGTCCTCCTCATATGGCTCGCCCTGGACCGCGCGCTTCTCCTGAGCCTCACTCAGAGGTTGCTCCGTCTCGTCGGCAAGCTGAGGGATCGTCGGACAAGTGGGGACGACGTCGACGGCAAGAGCCATCTGGACTGGACTTTCGATGTCATGCCCTTTGAGAGATAGTTTCAGACTGGAGAGCGCGTCGACCCGTTCTCCGTCCTCCTCATATGGCTTGCCCTGGACCGCGCGCCTCTCCTGAGCCTCACTCAGAGGTTGCTCCGTCTCGTCGGCAAGCTGAGGGATCGTCGGACAAGTGGGGACGACGTCGGGGGCAAAAGCCGCCTGGACTGGACTTTCGATGTCATGTCTTGTACGTTCCTCCTCGGGATCATCACCGTCCGAGCTTGCATACTGATCTAAGAAAGACTGCACGGAGTTCACATGAGGACACAAAGTTTGAGTGTGATATCGGACTTACAAGGGCCAGCGGTTTCACAGTTCGCGGTTTGTGAGAGCCCTTCGTACGCTTGTTTGAGCTTTCAGAATCGGACGCATGTCGAGGACGTTTGCGGTTTGACAAGGTGTTTTGACTGTCGGAACTGGCAGACATTCTGAAGAGATGTTTAGCTGATTTCGAGTGGTCAGTAAATGATGGAGTACTCAAAAGTATTTGATATAGACGGCGAATAGAGCGTTCGCGAGGTTTATCTGTATGCGCAGCGGACAGGAACTTGAAAGAGGTGGAAAAGATGGCTGTGCGCTGATTAGGCCAGATTTGGGCAGTAGGTGATGGGAGTAGCTGTGGCCGTGCTACAACAATGCCTAGATCAGAGGATAAGAGAAATCTGATCGTATCTTATCCCACCGCCACCAGGTCTACCATCACAATCCCCCTTATCATTGTTTGCGAAACCACGTGAGATCCGTTTACTGATCAACCCTCATCTCGACAAGGGGAACTCGATCTACAGGTGCGTCGTCTCTCGTTTGTCAAGATGCGGATGCTTACGGTTTTTTTGGTACAGCTCACCATGCCTGTCACTAGATCCAGCGATACCGGCAGAACGACGCGCTCCTCAGGCCTGGGCAAAGCGGCGAATAAGTCGGTAGCAACCACTCATGCCTCTCCGTCTAAAGTTCGTCCTATTATGGACCTCTGCTCGCGTTTATTAACATTCTGGACAGAAGAAAAGTGTACGTTCAAGCCATGCTCCAAATTGCAAGGTCCACTCAGGCAATATAGGTTCCCCCGTCCAAATCCGAGACCCAGAAACAAGCCAAGCGTGGGTCCAAGAAGGCAAATCGTCCCTTTTCGCGTTTAGATTTGAAAGCTGATTCTCTCGCAGGGAGATGTACATATTCCAGTGCTTCGATATCACGCAATGATCTTACTTATTTGCAGCGCACAGATGTACTTCAATCCGAAACAGAGGCTCCCCCTCCCTCGAAGCGTGGGGCGACGAAAGTGAGTGTTTCGTAGCAAGACGTCCTGCATCCAATCCGAGCTTATTCCTTTGTAGAAGCTTCCCAAATCGAAGCCCGTAGTGGAATCGGAGGACGAGAAAGAGGAGGAGCGACT